TAATTTTTTACAATTAAAAAAAAAAAATTGCTTCACTTCTTTTTCATCACATAAGAGGACAAAAAGTCCCCTATGTGATGATTTTTAGGTGACAGGTTTTCTTTATTGAGCCATCTGGGGTCTAAAAGATCCTGGATGTCTCCCCTGAGCTCCACTGAATGTAATGCAATGCAGATCACGCTGTGTTAGATTCTTTCCCGGCCAATGATGGCCAGAGACACTGACAGGGGAACCAGGAAGGGGTATTTTACACATCACTTCTGGGTCAGCAACAAGAAGGGGAGGAGAGCAGACACGCATTTGCTCAATTCCCTTCCCACCCGCTATGCCAGTTCTGGGCACACCGGGCGGGGGGGGGGGGTTGTGCAGGTAAGCTGGTACTAACAGAGAAGCTGGACTGCTTTCATCTGACAGCTAGAAGTTGGGAGTGTGTGTAATACCCCCCACTGTCAGGTCTGTATGATTAACCTCTTCACGCTGGCCAAACACAGCCTCCCAGCGTCTGGGCCTAGATGCCGAGCTGCCGCACATTTGCGTTCTATTAAAAAAGAGCATATGTGCTCAGAGCGTGCGCCCAGCACACATGTCCGGTACTCACGGAAAGGTCCCGATCTCCTCTTTCGATCGGGACCTTTCCCAATCATGTGACTGTCATGACGGCTTGTCACGGCGGTCACATGACCATAAACCCCGCCTCCCTTAAAGGTTGGGAGGTGCTGGCGTCGGCGTGAAATGTCACTATTTTATGTTCTGATAGGTCATTTTCCATATAAATTTTGTGTGCAATGTTACCTGAATTCAGCATAATCAGATTTTATTGGGCAAAGCGAAGCTCTCGGCATCACTTTGCAAATAACCAAACTCTCTACCAGGAGTGGGGATCGAACCCACGAGGATATACATCCATTGGATCTTAAGTCCAATGCCTTAACCACTCAGCCATCCTGGTTGCTTGTTTTGTGCTTCTTTTCCTTCCACTTCTTCAAATCACATTTTTGCCTTATTCTTGCGGGTTCAAATCCCACTCCTGGTATGAGCTTATAGCAAATTGAAACACTATAAATTCTTTTGCAAAGTTTAGCTGCACTGGCTGTATCAGAGGCACCAGAATGACCAAGTGGTTAAGGCACTGAGCTTAAGAACCAATGGATGTATTCCCTTATCAGTTCATCCCTCACTCCTGGTATAATCAGGAGTGATTCCTTTAGCTTTACGGAATAGTTAGGAGATGATTTTGTCACCTAAAGCAACATTTGTAAAAGAAAAGTAATAATGATGAAGTTGGCCATACACTGGAAGACATTCATATGAACCTTCATGAGAATAAGGATATTGTGTCACTTTAACTCCAACACCATGACCACTCGGCCATCCTGTAGACGTGTCACACACAGTTGTAGTGATACCCCTGTAGGAGCCTCTGATATCTTGCCCCCAAATCCTCACCCTCAGCCAAGCACACAGTATTTCCTATAGCCAGGTGCACAAAACTTTCGATCATGACTCCAATGATCAGTCTAGAGGTTGTAGTTTTTGTTGTTTTTGTTTTGTTTTAGAACTGGGATAGGAAAGGGTCACAGTGGGATACTCTGAACTGAACTATTCCCACTTGAGGACAGCTTTCTCTAAGTGGATCTTTGGTTTTCCTTAGTAGAACTGTATAGCAGACAGTGAGCTTAAAGTTTGCAGATCCATAACTGTATATTGAAGGCAGGAGTGGGGTATAAACTCACTATGATATACATGCATTGGAACATACAGAGGATATCCCCATCCCCTCCTTTGTAAACTTTTAAACCTAACTATGGGGGGGGGATAAATAATCCTACTCGCCTATATCCTTGTGAATTTTTTGTCATACTTACTGTGAATTTTTTGTCATAACTTACCTATTTGTGTCCTGACTCTGTGTTGCCTGTTTTAAAATGTCCATGATACTACACATGTATGAGAGGAAGCACATCTCACCCATGCACCATACGGCACTACAGGTATCTGCTGGGGGAAGAAAACCCTTCCTAGAGAGATGTAGTGTCGTATGGCACATGGGCTTCATCCCAGACATGCACATTATGACAATACTGTGAGATCTTGCAGTTTAGATACAGGACTTCCCTGGAGGACATGGTGATCTTGCCTTCCAAGGGCTCAGGAGAGCATGTTGCACAGGGTGCAGAGCTCAGAAGTGCATGCAGAACAGGGTGCAGAGCTGAGGAGAGCATGTTGTACAGGGTGCAGAGCTCAGGGGTGCATGTTGTACAGGGTGCAGAGCTCAGGAGAGCATGTTGTACAGGGTGCAGGGCTCAGGAGAGCATGTTGTACAGGGTGCAGGGCTCAGGAGAGCATGTTGTACAGGGTGCAGAGCTCAGGAGTGCATGTTGTACAGGGTGCAGAGCTCAGGAGTGCATGTTGTACAGGGTGCAGAGCTCAGGAGAGCATGTTGTACAGGGTGCAGAGCTCAGGAGTGCATGTTGTACAGGGTGCAGGGCTCAGGAGAGCATGTTGTACAGGGTGCAGAGCTCAGGAGAGCATGTTGTACAGGGTGCAGGGCTCAGGAGTGCATGTTGCACAGGCGGCCAACCTCTGCTTGTCCCTAACATTGATGTCCATGTATCCATTTTTGACTGGGAAATAAGTGGCTTCCTATAGGGCAGAGGTCGCCAGCTTACTGTCCTTTAGACTTTAGGGGGGCCGGATTGTAGCCAGTGGGGGTAGAACATGTCTTAAACCAGGCATCGGTGATAGCAAACATTACCTCAGGCATCATTTTCAATTACATAGTGCCTGTAATCAGTAGGATTAGAAATAGTGCCAGTAGATGGAATAATGCTTCATCACTGGTTTCAGTGGATGGAATAATGAAATAGTGCCCCGTCATTAGTGTCAGTGGGAGGAATAGTGCCCCATCATTGGTATCAGTGGGAGGAATAGTGCCCCATCAATGGTGTCAGTGGGAGGAATAGTGCTCCATCATTGGTGTCAGTGGGAGGAATAGTGCCCCATCATTGGTGTCAGTGGGAGGAATAGTGCCCCATCATTGGTATCAGTGGGAGGAATAGTGCCCCATCATTGGTATCAGTGGGAGGAATAGTGCCCCATCAATGGTGTCAGTGGGAGGAATAGTGCTCCATCATTGGTGTCAGTGGGGGGAATAGTGCCCCATCATTGGTATCAGTGGGAGGAATAGTGCCCCCATCATTGGTATCAGTGGGAGGAATAGTGCCCCATCATTGGTATCAGTGGGAGGAATAGTGTCCCATCATTGGTGTCAGTGGGAGGAATAGTGCCCCATCATTTGTATCAGTGGAAGGAATAGTGCCCCATCAATGATGTCAGTGGGAGGAATAGTGCCCCATCATTGGTATCAGTGGGAGGAATAGTGCCCCATCATTGGTATCAGTGGGAGGAATAGTGTCCCATCAATGGTGTCAGTGGGAGGAATAGTTCCCTGTCATTGGTGTCAGTGATGTAATATTGCCCCATCATTAGTATCAGTAGGAGGAATAGTGCCCCAACAATGGTGTCAGAGGATGGAATAGTGCCCCATCATTGGTGTCAGTGGGAGGAATAGTGCCCCATCATTGGTGTCGGTGGGAGGAATAGTGCCCCATCATTGGTGTCGGTGGGAGGAATAGTGCCCCATCGTCAGTGTCAGTGTTAGGGATAGTTCTTCAAATCAGTGGGAGCAATAGTGTCCCAAGGGCTGGAGAAAGGTAACAAAGGGTCTCATCCGGCCCTTGGGCTGTAGTTTGGAGACCACCGCTATAGTGTTTTAAAACTTGGATGATGCTTACTCCATAACTTCCACTAGATGGCACCACTGGCCTACATCAGTTGGTCTACATATGAACAAACAGTAACTACTCACAGTGCTGGGAACAGGACAGCGCCATCTAATGACTGAACACCAATAAGAAATGCAGATTCTGCAGATCAGTTGACTCTATGCAATACTAGCTTGTATGCAAGGGCGGACTGACAACTCATGGGGCCCCCTGGGCAATAGGGGATCATGGGGCCCCTGTGTCCTTGCCCAAACTCAAAAAAGCCTATGAAAAAGGTATCAGGGGCATCCCATGGGGCCCCTACTGACCCCCGGGCCTTGGGCAGTGCCTGAGTTTCCAAATGGTCAGTCCGCCCCTGCTTGTATGTTAATTAAAGTTACATACTTGATAAAAGACAGTTGTTGTACTCGTGTCCCTGCCAGAGACCAGACTCCGCAGAAGTTGTTGACCCCCCCATACTCATACCAAGGAAGGTCACAGACTAGGGTTGCCACCTTTCCTTCAAGCCACACCTGAACACTTTAGCAGTGTGCAGCGATTTTTTTCTGTAATATACAAAACAAATGAAAAACAAAATGTGGTACAAATAGATGTAAGACGTGTATAGTCATTATAAAAATTGTGCTGCACTAAAACACATCATTGGTTATATACATGGTGCTGCAGGTGAAGGAGTGCAAAAGTAGGGTGCGTGGTTGTGCAATAAAGACTTAGTGGCACCACTGAACACCTACAAAAGGGCCATGAGATTCTGTGCATTGCCAGAATGCAAACAACTTTGTGCACATTGCTGCAACACAAATGTCTAACTATGGCAGGGGCAATGAATTCAACTTCAAGGAGGTTCAGTCGCTAAAATTTTATTCCAGCTGAAGTCTGAATTGTTCTTTAGTAAACAAAAAACGCAGGCCAATCACATTCATATGTCAAGTAAAAGAAAATAAAACAACCTTACATCAGGTGTCCCCATCAGAGTGCCCCCTTACATCAAGTGTCCCCATCAGAGTGCCCCCTTACATCAGGTGTCCCCATCAGAGTGCCTCCTTACATCAGGTGCCCCCATCAGAGTGCTTCCTTACATTTGGTGTCCCCATCAGAGTGCCTCCTTACATCAGGTGTCCCCATCAGAGTGCTTCCTTACATTTGGTGCCCCCATCAGAGTGCCTCCCTACATCAGGTGTCCCCATCAGAGTGCCTCCTTACATTTGGTGTCCCCCATCAGAGTGCCTCCTTACATCAGGTGCCCCCATCAGAGTGCCTCCTTACATCAGGTGTCCCCATCAGAGTGCTTCCTTACATTTGGTGCCCCCATCAGAGTGCCTCCTTACATCAGGTGTCCCCATCAGAGTACTCCCTACATCAGGTGTCCCCATCAGAGTGGCCCCCTTACATCAGGTGTCCCCAACAGAGTGCCTCCTTACAATTGGTGCCCCCATCAGAGTGCCTCCTTACATCAGGTGTCCCCATCAGAGTGCCTCCTTACATCAGGTGTCCCCACAGAGTGCCTCCCTACATCAGGTGTCCCCATCAGAGTACTCCCTTACATCAACAATCCCCATCAGAGTGCCTCCTCACATCAGGTGTCTTCATCAAAGTGCCTCCCTACATCAGGTGTCCCCATCAGAGTGCCCCCTTACATCAGGTGTCCCCATCAGAGTGCCTCCCTACATCAGGTGTCCCCATCAGAGTGCCTCCCTACATCAGGTGTCCCCATCAGAGTGCCTCCCTACATCAGGTGTCCCCATCAGAGTGCCTCCTTACATCCAGTGTCCCCATCAGAGTGCCTCCCTACATCAGGTGTCCCCATCAGAGTCCCCTCTTACATCTGGTATCCCCATCGGAGTCCCCCCTTACATCAAGTGTCCCATCAGAGTCCCCCCTTACATCTGGTATGCCCATCGGAGTCCCCCCTTACATCTGGTGTCTCATCAGAGTCCTCCCTTACATCTGGTATCCCCAGTATTTCCCTATTTACATCAGGTGTCATTATCAGAGTGCCTCTTTACATCAGGTGTCCCATCAGAGTCTCTACTTACATCTGGTGACCCCATCAGAGTGCCTCTTTACATTGTGTGTCCCTTCGGAATGCCTCCTTACATCAGGTGTCTCTGTCAGAGTGCCTCCTTAAATCCGGTGTCCCATCAGAGTCCCCCTTACATCCAGTGTCCCATAAGAGTCCCCCCTTACATCGGGTGTCCCCATCAGAGTATCTTCTTACATCTGGTGTCTCGATCAGAGTGCCTCTTTACATTAGGTATCACTTTAGAGTGCCTCCTTACATTAGGTATCCCTTCAGAGTCCCTTCTTACATCAGGTGTCCCCATCAAGATTCTCTCTTTACATCTGGTATCCCCAATACGTCCCTCCTTACATCTTGTGACCCCATCAGGGTGCCTCCTTTCATCTGGTATCCCATCAGAATTCCCACTTACATCTGATATCCCCATCAGAGTCCCTCCTTACATCAGATGTCCCATCAGAGTCCCTCCATCAGAGTCCCTCTTTAAAATTGGTGTCCCCACTAAGTGCCCCCTTACATCTGGTGTCTACATCAAAGTGCCTCCTGGTGTACAGTCAGAGTCCCTCCTTATGTCGAGTGTCTACATCAGAGTGCCTCCTAACTTCAGGTGTCCCATAAGAGTCCCCCCATACATTAGCATTCCCAGTCATATGACGTCCTCCTAGAACGCGCTATCCTGCGCACCCCCGGAGTGGGAGTGCACCCGGCGATCTCCGTGATCGCTGTGTCCTACGGACACAGCTGATCACGTGATGTGGTAAAAAGCCAATCACAGTGACCTTTTACCACGTGATCAGCCGTGTCCAATAACACACTGATCACTGGGAAATGCAATTGCCGGTTCTCGGCTGCACTTTCCTCACGCTGTCAGAGCAGCCAAGAACCGAGAGACCAGCAGTGCCACCCACCTGTGCCACCCAGCAGTGACACACACCTTTGCCCAGCAGTGCAGCCTAGCAGTGCAGCCTAGCAGTGCTGCCAGTCAGTGACCAGCAGTTGCGATGTCAATGCCCAGTGCTGTCTGTCAGTGCCACCTATCAGTGCTGTCTATCAGTGCTGTCTTCAGTACCTCATTAGTGCCGTTACACCTCATTAGTGCTGCCTATAAGTGCAGCCTATCATTGCTGCCTATCAGTGCCCATCAGTGACACCTATCAGTGCCCATCGGTACCGCCTATTAGTGTCCATCAGTGCTGCCTATCAGTGCAGCCTCATCAACGCACATCAGTGAAGGAGAAAAATTACCTGTTTGAAAAATTTTATAATAGAAACAAAGAAACTTTTTTTTTTCAAATGTTTTGCACTTTTTTGTTTATAGCACAAAAAGTAAAGTGCCCAGCGGTGATTAAATACCACCAAAAGAAAGCTCTATTTGTGAGAAAAAAATGATAACAATTTCCTATGGGTACAATGTTGTATGACCGCACAATTGTCAATCAAACTGCGACAGTGCTGAAAGCTGAAAATTGGCCTGGTAAAGAAGGGGGTATAAGTGCACGGTAGGCAAGGGTTAATACAAGAGAGGATTTTGCTCTCTTTAGAAACTCCACAGCTTGGCATTGCATGCTATTATTAAGCTTGTGATCTACCAGAACCCCCAGATCCTTCTCCCCATTGACCCCCCCAGTTGTACCCCCCCTAGTATGTATGATACATGCATATTCTTAGCCCCCAAGTGCAGAACCTTACATTTATCAACATTAAACCTCATTTGCCACATAGTTGCCCAATTACACAGAGCATTGAGGTCGGCTTGTAAGTTGGAGACATCCTGTAAGGACGTTATTCCACTGCACAGCTTGGTGTCATCTGCAAAGACTGAAATGGTGTCCCTTCAGAATCCTTCCTTACATCTGCTGTCCCTTCAGAGTCTCTCCTTACATCAGGTGTCCCCATCGGAGTCCCTCCTTACACTTGGTGTCCCTAACAGAGTCCCCCTTACATCTGGTATCCCCAGTAAGTGCCTACTTACATCTGATGTCTCCATTAAAGTCCCTTCTTTACATCTGGTGTCCCCATTAAGAGTGCCTCCTTACATCTTGTGTCTCATCAGAGTCTCTCCTTACATCTGGTATCCCCAGTAAGTGCCACTTTACATCTAGTGTCCCCATCAGAGTGCCTCCTTACATCTGGTGTCCCATCAGAGTCGCTCCTTATATCTAGTGTCTCCATCAGAGTGGCTCCTGAAATCAAGAGACCCCATCAGAGTCTCCCCTTACATCGGGTGTCTACATCAGTGTGCCTGCCTACATTAGGTGACCCCATCAGAATCCCCCCTTACATCTGGTATCCCCAGAAATTGCCTCCTTACATTTGTTGTCCCCTTACATCTGGTGTGCTACATACATCTGGTGTCCAATCAGAGTCCCTCCTTACATCGGGTGTCTACATCAGAGTGTCTCCTTACATCTGGTGTTTCCATCAGATTACCCATCCTTACATCTAGTAACTCCATCAGAGTGCCTCCTTACATCTTGGGTCCCTATCAGAGTGCCTCCTTATATCAGGTGTCCCATCAGAGTCCCCCTTACACCTGGTATCCCCAATAATTCCCTCCTTACATCTGATATCCCATCAGAGTGCCTCCTTACATCTGGTATCCCCAATAAGTCCTCCCTTACATCAGGTATCCCCATCAGAGTTCCTCCTTACATCAGGTGTCCCCATCATAGTGCATCCTTACATCAGGTGTTTCTATCAGAGTCTCTCCTTACATATGGTATCCATAGCACCTCCTTACACCAGGTGTTCCCAATCAGAGTGCCTCCTTACATCTGGTATCCCCAGTAAGTGCCCCCTTACATCTGGTATCTCATCAGAGTGCTTCCTAACATCTGGTGTCCCATCAGAGTCCCCCCTTACATCTGGTGTCCCATCAGAGTCCCCCGTTACATCTGGTATCCCCAGTAAATGCCCCCTTACATCGGGTGTGTCTCCATCAGGGTGCCTCCTTACATCTGGTGTCCCTTCAGAGTCCCCTGTTACATCTGGTATCCCCAGTAAATGCCCCCTTACATCGGGTGTCTCCATCAGGGTGCGTCCTTACATCTGGTGTCCCTTCAGAGTCCCGCCATACATCGGGCGTCTACATCAGAGTGCCTCCTTACATCAGATGTCCCCATCAGAGTACCCCTTTACACCTGGTATCCCCAATACGTCCCTCCTTACATTAGGTGTCCCCGTCAGAGTCTCTCCTTACATCTGGTGTCCCATCAGAGTTACCCCATACATCTGGCATCCCTGGTAAGCGCCTCCTTACATCAGGTGTCCCCATCAGAGTCCCCCTTTACATCTGCTGTCCCTTCAGAGTGCCTCTTTGCACCTTGTGTCCAATCAGACTCTCTCCTTACATCTGGTATCCTCAGTAAGTGCCACCTAACATCTCGTGTCCCCATCAGATTACTTCCTTATATCAGGTGTCCCAACAGAGTCCCTCCTTACAATTGGTGTCCCCGTTAGAGTACCCCTTTACGCCTGGTATCCCCAACAAGTCCCTCCTTACATCAGGTGTCCCAAATAAGCGCATCCCTACATCAGGTGACCCCATAAGAGTGCCTCCTTACAATAGGTGTCCCCATCAGTGTCCCTCCTTACATCTGGTTTCCCATCAGTATCCCTCCCTTACACTTGGTGTCCCCATAAGAGTCCCCTCTTACATCTGGTATCCCCAGTAAGTGCCACTTTACATCTGGCATCCTCATTAGAGTGCCTCCTTACATTTGGTGTCTTCATCAGAGTCCCCCCTTACACCTGGTATCCCCAGTAAGTGCCACCTTACATCAGGTGTCCCCATCAGAGTCCCTACTTACATCTGGTGTCCCATTAGAGTCCCTTCTTACATCTGGTGTTTCATCAGACTCGCTCTTTCCATTTGGAGTCTCCATCAGAGTCCCCTCTTACACCTGGTATCCCCAGTAAGTGCCACCTTACATCAGGTGTCCCTATCAGAGTGCCTCCTTAAAACTGGTGTTCCCATTAAGTCTCTCCTTACATCAGGTGTCCCAATCAGAGTCCCCCCTTACACCTGATATCCCCAATACGTCCTTCTTTACATCAGGTGTCCCCATCAGAGTCTCTCCTTACATCTGGTATCACCAGTAAGTCCCCCCTTACATCTGGTGTCCCTCCACACATCAGAGTTGTCTCCTCCCCTGGTATTCACAGATCACTCTCTGCAGCTGCTCCTTCCTCTCTCCAGTCCTGTGATAGGCCACATGACAAGGGAGGAGAGGAGGGAGGACAGACTGTCTTCACTTCTCTACAGTCCAGTGCTGAGAATTATCAGTCCAGTGTCGGCTCCTTAGAGCCCCCTGCAGGCTGGAGGGATCCTCTCCGCTATCTTAGGTCCAGTCTGAATAATGTGTCTGGTTTTCAGACAGGCCGAACACCGAACACACGATTCAAAACCCGGAATGTCTGGGTGAATCCCGGGCAGGTGGCAACCCTATACTAACTACATGTAGTGCCCTCCTCTAGTTAGGTTGTTACGTTGAATTTCATTGGAACGGTGATCTATTGTTTTTGTCTGGTCAGGGTTTCCTAAGCTGGGTGTTTAATTCCTCCCACCTGCTTCTGGAAGACACTTCCAGAATATAGGACAGGGAGAGTCCAATTGCCAGTAAGAATATTTATCATGCCCTAGCCAATCCCTGGAAGGAGGCATCCAGAAGGTGGCTGGGAAGGGGATAAATGTCTGGGAGGCCTTTCCAGAGTGTTCTTCTTCTGCTTTCCTTGGGGCTGCTGCCCCTGGGAAGGCAGCTAGAGTGTGCTGAAGAATTGCAGTCTGAGCCTCAACAGGTCCTTGGAGAAGATAACTAATGGGTTTTTGCTGGAGGTAGTGTCCTGAAGTCCTGGTCTGGTGAAGGATCTTTTCATCTCCCTCACTGAGGAACTACCTGAGTGGCAGTCTGCTCCTAGGACATTGTGGGTAAGACCTACTGTGGGACTTTCATGTGTGTCTGCAGCTATAAGGATTTGTGCTAGAGGTTTGTCCTCCTATTGATAATTTTGGAGTATCCTGAACCCCTGAATCCCACACCTGCTTCAAGTTATTGAGCAATACGTTCTAAAAAGACATCCATTAGACTGAACCTGTATTATTGGTGTGCAT